CAGTGTTGGGGAATCAGGGAAGGGGAACAGACAAGTTGCTGTCCTTTTGTTCTTCAGTCTAGTTGTGGAGGATGTCGCTTCACTGGCCCATGTTGGTATCATTGCGCTCTTCCTGGGTGAGGCAATAGGTCGCTGGCCACTGGATGGCCGCTCATGGCAGCTCATGCAGTTGCCGGCCGCTCACGCTGGCTGCCAGCCACTCAACGGGAGCTCATGGCAGCCCACTGCAGCCCTGATGCAGCCTACACCATCACCAGCGACTCACGGCAGCCCAGCTCCAGGTTGAGCCATTGTTCATCATCTTAGCTGTAGAGGGCGCAGCGTCACTGGCCCTCATGTGGGATCCGAACCGCGGCCCTGCTGCTCAGAGCCGGCACTCCCAAGCCAACTCTTAATCAACACGCCACACTGCCGGCCCTTTATCGGTATATATTGAGTATTACAATTTTAATACAGTTTTTTCTTTTCTTAAAATTGTGTATACATTTTTTTGGAACCCTCTGTATATTGGGGAACAATTATGAGTTTTATAAAACAAGTTTAATGAATAACGTCTTTATTCTATGCATTTTTCCTTTCAATAGTTGAGCTTACATGACATGTACATCTTTAAATCTGGCTTTGACTGCTGATCATTACATTAAAAAACTTCTCCTGCAATTAAAAACTTCAGAAATATTAACTATCTCCCTCACGTGGGATGTTGCGTTGCTTCTGATGAAAGGCCTTGAATGACTGGGAAAGATCAAGAGGAAGACAAGAAGAGCTCATTAGTACTAAGAAAATTAAGGATTAACTGAAAACCAGTGCCTATGTGGATGTAATGGAAATGCGGTTTGAGAGCTCGTTATGTCTTAAGGTTGGCGAGTGAGACAAAGATGCATGTCCAAACCGCCCTTGGAGTCTGACACAAGAGGCTGAGTCTTGCCCGCCAACAAGCAGAGACGAATCTGAACTGCTCAGGGAGTGGGGGCAGCATTTATGAAGGCAGTGTGTGCACAAAGCACGTGGGCACCAGCAGTCAGGCTGGCCTTCTGACTTCTCTGGGCTCACCAGGGATGCGAAGGGTTGTTTTCCCAGCGCTCTATTTCTGAGTGCATTCGGCAGATGTGGCCAAAGCCATCTGTGCTGAGACATGGCTGTCTCAGGCGTGACTTCAGAAACACTCTGCCCCACAATGCGAGGCCGGGCGCCAGGGCTGCATTTCTTACCGGTGGGTGAAAGTGCCTTTGGCTGCGGGGCTTGTAACACTGCGGGGCGAAGCACGCTCCGCTGCTGCTCCTTGGGCTTCTGGCTCGGCAGACCTGGGAACAGAGGTTGGTTTACCTGGGGCCCTTGGACCTCACGGGCAAAAACACAACAGCTCAGGCTCTCAGGCACTTTACAGACAAAGTAACCCCAGGAACCCATCTGATGTCTCTCACAGGCTAGACTCTACAGAGAAGCACGTTTAAAAAAACCCAAAAAACCCAAGGTATTTTCTTTACAGCTACACATGCAGAGTCTGGCTATTGTTATTTTTATATGTGATTAAACCATATTCCCATGAAACTGAGCATGTCTGCGAATTAATCCAGTGAGTACAGTAATGCTATGGGGAAGTCAAGGAACAGCTGTTCTCAAGTGTTGGCCTCCAGGGTAAAGTACAGACGTTAGGGGAAAGCAACAAAGCCAGAGGTTACCCCTCATCCCCCAGAGTTTAGGACGCTGCTTGAGGTCACAGAAAGGCACCCTTTGCACCTGCTTTTTAAAATACCATGTTGAGAAAATCCCTCTGCCAAACAGCTCAGGCAAGGGCCATGAGAGAATGCTTCTGGCCCTGCCCGGGCTCCCGTTGGGCCCGACAGGTCTAGAGAGCGCCATCGCTAGGCCCTGCTCACCGTAGCATGCCACTGGATTGAGGCCACACTGTTAATCAGGGTTAATGCTGTGGCATGCTGGGGCTGGAATGCTCTGGAGACACAGGCTGAGCCAACTGAGCTATCGCTGGGCACAGAGCCCAACGTGCCATACCAAGCCAAGCCTGCTCCCTCGCCGCTGTCTCCACCTCTGGGCAGTGGAGGGCTCACAGGTGGAAGAACCTCCCTGGTCTGACAGACTCTTTAAAGCAGCTTTCCAGGGCTTGTGTGTCAGGGAACTGAGCTCTGAGGGCACTGCTGGGGCTGCCTTAGGTGGCCGTGCAAACAGACGCTGTGCAGAGGCCTGGAAGGATGTCAAATGCCATTCCACTCCGCTCCTCCAAGGCGGGCACCTACCTGCACTGGGTGCCTGGCCGTGGATCAGTGTTGGCGGCTTCAACCGGAAACCACTGCTCTTTTCCTCTATAAGCACAAGACAAAAAATAAAAGCAGGACTGCCTGCGGTGGGGTGGCGAGGCCAGGAGGGAGCCGGGGCAGGAGAAGACTACGGGCTGGGCCTCAGTGGCCGGGGGCCTGGAGAACCAGGAAAATGTTTCTAAATTGAAACAGAAATGCAGAAACCCCCTCTACCACCAAGGCTGTAAGACAGCCCGGGTGAGGAGGAGGCAGGGGGCTGCAGGAAGTGCTGGCTCCGGGGCAAAGCGCTGACAATGGAAGACTACAGGGCATCCAAGGCATGAGACAGAAGTGGGGGTGGCCACTTCACCAAGAAGCCCTTCTAGCTGGAGGGTGAGTACAAGGCTGGTCAGTCCATGAGCCACCTCACCCAGCAGCCTGCCAAGAATCTGGACGCCGTGTTGCACTCACAGGTCATGGGGGATGTCTGGGAGCCACTGCATAAAGGCCCCTGGGACCTAGCTCCCTTTCCTAGAGGACTTGTCAAAGATGCATCTGTAATCAGGGAAAGTCTCTGTACTATCAGCACATGTCTGGGAAATGAGACATGTTTTCTATGGTGAGAGATCAATGGTGGCAGACAGCGGGCTTGCTCTCTCTCCACATGTGCCCGGGGAGCTATGCCTCATGGCTTAACGAGAGTACCGGACTGGAAGGCCTGGGAGAAGAAAGAAGGGTGGTTTGTTCCAGCTGCATGTGAGAGGTGGGGGCCTCCTCCAGGACTCGAGTTTGGGCTGACAAATACAGGGCCTCCTGGGATGTTCAAAACCCGATTTCAGCTCAGCCACTGGTCCACACAGATCCCTTAATCAGCCTGTCTTGGTGACTCTGTCTATCTCAGAAGGGGGCAGGGGGTGCGGTGGGAGAAGAACAATCTACTGCAATCCTTGGTGGGAAGCCTTGGAAGTCAAAAGCCTTGTGACTCTAATAGGCCAGGTCTATCTAATAGGCCAGGGAAGCACGGGGACAGCAGCATTTCGGGCCACCAGAGGCAGCCTTGCTTTGCGCTAAGGTCCAACCCATCAGAAAAAACCCTTGTCAGGTTGGCAGGGAACAAGAGTACTACTCAAAAATCAGCTGTGCATTTCTATACACTAGCAATGAACAACCTGAAAATGAAGCAAGGCAACAATTCCATTTACAATAGCACAAAAGGGAATAACATACTTGGGAATAAATTTAACAAATGAAAATTATAACACGTTGTTGGGAGAAACTAAAGACTTAAAATAAATGGAACGATGCCTCAAAAGGTCACAAAGTATGTGATTCCATGTATATGAAATATCCAGAATAGGCACATCCAGAGACGGAAAGTGGATCCGTGGTTCCCAGGGGCTGGGGGAGGGGGATGGGAAGCGGCTGCTAAAGGGCACAGAGTTTCTTTCTGGGGTGAAGAAAATGTTATAAAATTATGGTGATGGTTGCACAACTCTGTGGATATACTAAAACCCAACCAATTGTACACTAAAACAACAACACAAATGCTTTGTCTGACCAAACTTTCAGGTAGGAAACAAAATTAGATTATTTCCAGATGAAACAGGAGGGCCCTCTCCCTGCTGTCTACATGGTGGTGAGCCAAACTGCTCTCCTTGGGCAAAAACAGGACGACAGAAACTCAGTGCTAGGTAGTGAAAAGCAGTTGAGCTTGCGGGCTCCTGCGAGCTTGCGTCCGTGGGCTGGTGTCTCTCCCGTAAGAGAGCTCTGGGGCATAAAAACCACACTGGGGGAGAATCAGACACCATAGAATGTAGGGGAAGACATGCTGTCAGATGTTCCTTTCAGAAGGAAAATGCTGAATTACACTTCCAAAGGTCTGGGTTATGCAGAAGATGACTGGCAACTAAAAAACATTAAAAAAAAAAAAGATGAAATTCACAATTTAGATAGTTTTCAAAGCCCTTAGAGCTGGCTCTGCAATGCCCACCACTATGCTAACAGCTAGCGATCCTTGGGCCGGCCTAGGCTGACCAGGGGCAGTGAGCCCAGGTAATCACTGCCACTGACCATCCACTAGATTGGGCCCGGTGCCAGGCCCACCCCGCACATGTGCAGGACATCCATACTGAATGCTGCAGTGAATAGAGGGACAGACAGACAAGGCACACCGTACTGCTAACGGCAACCAGGACTCAGGACAGAAGGGGCCTAAAGCAGCCAGGAGGTGTGCTCACAGGGCAGGCCTCACCCTCACTAAAACAAGTGTGGTTTCTTCTCATGGCCTCCAGAAACTTACTTTTCCTGCAACACGGTCAGAGGACAACAAAGAGGTGCTGCCTGGAGGTCGGAGCCCCGCCACACACGCCAGGGTCACAGGGGTGCATAGGTGGATGCACTGGTGTCTTCTCGAGGGCACACGCATGCCCCTCTGTGAGCTCGCTGGGGGAAGAGGTCACTCACACAGAGACCCTGAATGAGGTCTGAGGGAGCAATGCTCACACCCCCAGGGACCTCCAGATTTAACCAGGAACATTTCACCCGATGTATACCAAAGGTTGAAAAGAATCCAAGAGAAGGCAGCCTGGTGGGGACTGGGGCCTGTGCAAGGCGGAGCTGGTGCAGGACGGGGAGGGAGCGCAGCCATGTACAGGGGATGGAACGATGAGTAAATGCACTGAGGACAAAGGGAGCCACGTTTCTTATAGTTAGATGAGAGGCAGAAATGCGAAGGGGGAGGCTAAGCTGAACCCTGCTGGTGCTGACTTGGGGTTACTCACGTATGCAGATAGAGCTACAGAAATATATGTAAACGTCGGCATGGGGTGTGTGTGTGCGCGCGTGTGAGTGTGTGTTCCCAACTCTGGGCATGGCGAGGGCCTGGGGGCAGTGACAGGCCAATGGTGGTGAGCATACCGAGCAAGCACCCCGATTTTGGTGTCTCGAGACCACTCTCCACTAAGCAGAACCAGGACCCCTTGGAGAAAAGGGGAGAGATGATGATGAGCTTGGAACCTCTTGTTATGACAGAAAGAAAGTGCTTAAAAGAACGACGGGGACTTGGCAAAAAGACATGGGAATCTGGCTTGAGGGGGCCCACTGGTCAAATCTGGGGCAATTAAAATAAACCGATGGTTAAAATGAAATCTTATATGAAAATAAATACTAATAACAACAGATTATAACTCATTAACTAAATGGGGCAGAAAATCTTCACCTGGCCACCATCAGAGTAATGATTAATTCAAACAAGAAAACACCAGCGGCTGCCAACAGGGGAGGGCACAGTGAGAGGAGGAATGAGGTTTCCTCGCGTCGCAAAGTGTCCCTCCAGAGCACATTAATCCCAAAGGGGAAGAAATGATTACACAGTAGAGAACCCAGGCAGGCCCACCCTAACTGAGTGACCAAAGTCAACCCCGCCAGCAGGAGCACACACATCACATGCTGTGGCTAGGCACCGGGGACAGCACAGCTGCACTTCTGTGGTGCTCCAGCGTCAAATACTCCAACCTGGGTGGCAGCACCAGGAAACACTGACACACCCCATCGAATGACTTCTCCAAAATAACTGGCCTGTGATTTTCAAGGTCACGAAAGTCAAGGAAAGACTGAGGAGCTGTTCTGGATGGAGAGAGACATGGGATGTGTGACTGGGGTCTGATGCCTCTGTTCTGTGAAATGTCCTTGGGGTGATGGGAAAATTGCATGGGGTCTCCAGGTAAAGGGATAGAGAAGTGCTTTATAAAATTCTGTAAGTTTTAAGTTTTTTCAAAATTAAAGCAAAAAAGTAAAAGACAGGCAGGCAGACAAGAATATAAAATGGTCAATTTGCAGAGTTGAGGTGTGAGTCTAATACGACTGCATGCTGCATCAGGGACCAGGGACCAGGGCTGTGTCAGGGCCTCTGGGGTAGGACAAGGCTGCCCCTTTTCTCAGGGCAGCCCTGATCTCAATGCTGCTGGATAAAGGTTTTGGGGGCAAAGAGAGGGGAGTGAGGCTATCACTCACAGACCTCAGAGGTGATTGTGAGATTCACAGAAGAACTTGATGGCAAAAAGGGATTGACACCTGACCTTAGCGACTGCTCCCTAGACCGGAACTGGCACACCCCGGCTAACACCGCCCCACAGCTCAGAACACGACTTGCTAAGCCAGCGCCCAGGTAAAACCAGGAACCTTTAAAAGCCACACTCCTCTTCAGATGGGGGCAAGTCAGCGCCAAACAGTTTGCTTTTAGAGTCAGAAAGAATTCACTCAACTGTTTGAAATGGTGCCATCAAATCAATCCTCAAAGTTATGAAAACTCGCCTGTTCCCTCGACATTGCCCTCATGCCAGAGTATGACTTATCTCGCAATGCTTTTGAAGTTGGCAATGAATTTATATAAGGTAGGTTGGGTTACAGGATTCGGGTGGTTAAACTTGCTCATTAAATCTTTTATGAGGAGAAACTTTCAGGAAATATTGGAGTTGGTTCTCCAGCGAAAGACCAAAAAAGGCAGGCTTTATATTCTTCAGAGGGGAGCAAGCTGTTTTCTTTAAAGTTTTAAAGCTGTGATTAAATATATTTATCTGACCACATCTAAGCAATATTAATTAATGTGAGAATGTAATACACAGAAAAGGGGTCTGGAAAATTACAATTCACATGAGTTACCTTTGGGATGGTAGATTGGGAAAGGGGCAGGCAAATTCTTTAACTCTATGTATTTCCAATTTGCCTTTTTTTAAATGATATGAACGTATTACTTGTGTAAAATTTTGAAAAATAAGTAATACACTCTCCTTCCTCCCTCCATCCTTCCCTCTCTCTTCCACCCTCCCTCCCTTGCTTCTTCCTGCCTTCTTTTTCCTCCAAAAGGATGTAAAACTCCTTATAACCAGGCCTTGCTTACAGAAAAAGAAATAAGGTCTTATGAAGCCTATCCCACACCGAATTACAAATGTACATGCTGAGGCATTGGGAGAACATTTGGGAACTGAAAAAGATTCCCAATTTCCAAGTGCCCATTCCTGTTAAGGTGTAATTTTATAATATCAACTGCTTTTCATCCTCAGGACACCCCCAGTGATTGGCTGTGAAAGGCAGAGAGGGACATGAGGGCTCACCTGGTTCTGAGTCAGAATTGCCTGCAGATGGCTCGCAGAAGGTTGATGGCATAAAAACATTGTTTTTTGATACTGTCAGCAAGGAGGTGCAGGCAGGGGAGGGAACAAGAGGAAAAACAGTGTGAGTAGGCGGGGCAGACCTGCCCTGGATCACCTCTCCCACCTGAGGGGTCAGTTTCCGAGCTCCACTGTGGTGCGGGAGGTGGGGTCAGCATTATGAATGAGGCCTTTGGCTACTCGAGACTGTACAGCAAAAAGGGAGTGTCTCCAGCCCAACGAATTCTATCTGACATCTAGCAGTCAACTCTGGTCCACTGTGCCACCTCTCTTGTCCTCACGCCCCTGGCTTTTCCTTGGCATCCTAGGCCCCTGCTGGGGCCGCTAAGAGAGAAGCGGAACACGCGGATGTTCCAAGTCTTACCTGGGGCTGAGCCTCAGCCCCTGCTTCTTGTCACCAGGTGGGGCTTGAAAGTTGGCTGTACCCCCCCCCCCTTTGCCTGTTTAGGACCTACTGGCACCGCTCATCTTTCCATCCCCCCTGACAGCTGGGAGCTGAGTATCTCCTAGACAAATGCAGTAGAGGAGAGGGGAAATGTTTGGTGGTCCTTTGCTCCTTCAGCCCAGGGACAAAGCACAAATCACCTCATCTCTTCTCTGCTGCATCTTCCTGATGCAGAAAGTGGAGTTCAGCAGTATACACTGAACGGGAGGAACACCATCATAGCCAGGAAGTGGACGCTCCCTTATTCCGTAGGAACACCTATGCAACAAATGGGCAGAGACCCTTAAAAAAAAGGATGTGTCCACTGCAGCCTGGACTGTAAACCAACTGGACGGTTCTTTGATGCCTGGTTAGCAAACGATAGTGTGCCCATTCAGGGGGGTCTTATGTAGGCATGAAATAGGCCGTGGCAACGTCCAAAAAAAGCATCAAGGGAAACAGGTAGAATATCAAGTGTGTTACAGGGACAACCTTGAAAGGATGCTCCCTTTCGGCACAGACCATTTCTGTAACATTTGTGTTACTTTTGTAAGCAGAAGCAAAGCTTCCAACAGTGTCTTTTTTCCCTTAAAGTAATATCCTTAAGGTTCATAGTTATAAAATGTTTTATATGAACTTCTCAAGAATGAACTTCAACTTGGGTAACTAGAAATCTTCTCCCAATGCACGTGCACCTCTAAGTCAGCGCTACAGAGACCAAGACAGAGAACATAGCACGATGCCAGCTCATCAAGTCCAGATGAGCTGGAGAGGAGAGGGGGCAGCCCTGTGGCTGTGTTTACCCTCCCATCTGCAGGGGTGTCCCCAGGCTTGTGAAGCTCCCATTAAGTAGCCCCAGAGTCTCTCTATCCCGGAACCTGCCCCGTTCCTGTACCACCCTCTGTACAAGCCCTGGTTGGTCTGCTGGCCTCCATGCATGTGCTCAGACCATGCCCTGTCCAGCCGCACCTCCACAGGGTCCCAGGCTGGCCCGCCCCCCTGGGTCAGCTCCAAGTCCCCTCCTCCTTCTAGGAGCTCATGGCATTTCACCACCAAAGTGTCTGTTGGAGCCACTCAGCTCACTGTGTACCATGTGTGTGTGTGTATGGCGTGCTTCTTAACTAGCGGAAGGGTCAGAACACCCCACTTCGCACTGCCCACACCTTCAGTCTATGGACACAGCCAGCAGCTGTTGGAAGGTGGACGCGTAATTAATGGTTAGAGTCCGCCAACAGGGCTCTGAAAGTCCTTTTCCTCTAGTCCAGAGGGGCGGTTTTTCTTGGTGTCTTCCTTATCAGTGTACTAGGTCACACCCCTCCTCCGTAAGTGTCACTGATCCCAGACTGGGACACCTGGTGCTACCCCTTGGGCAAGCTCTAACCTTATGTGACAGAGACCTAGTCTCAGACTGACTCTACCGGGATCTGGGCAGGAGACGGCAACAGATATGAGATGCTAAAGGTGAACAGTGGGCTTATAAACATGGATGCTTTTACCGTGCAATAAAGGTCTGCAAGTTACCTGACTGTGAAGGTGGGAATTGGGTTAAAGAGGACGTCCTTTCTCGCTTGACAGGAGGGCAGTAATTTCCATCTTCTCGGTCAGAATCTACGGAAAATAATGAGAAAAGGAAGAAGAGAAAAATCAGGCTGCTTCCACTTTTACAATCAAAGATCGTGAAACGTTTTAGAGGTTTCCTCACCTTCTCCACCTTCGGGGCTGGAGCCTCCAGCTGACCTCTGAAACGAGAGCACAATCAGGGTGGAAGCGAGGGCCTTGAGTTCTGTCATGAACGGATCCCGAAACGCAGCGCTGAGGGCGAACTCCCTGAGCTCAGCCACCACAGCGACTTTCAACCTAATGCTCAAAACTCCCCCAATGAACCTTCCGCATCTGGCCGACCAGGCCACGTGCCAAGGAATCCTCTTAACGACTGAGCGCATTTATAGCACAAGGATCGGTTTCTGTTTCTCCACAGGTTACAGCTAACTGGCGTGCCACTCCTCAATTCCAACACAGTGAAACTTTATCTGACCCAAACTCATTTTGCCAAGAGCTGGAAAGCGACCCCTCTCCACTCAGATGGGCAGCCGGACAGTTTAAAACAGTCGCACAACACTGGCTTGTGGCGGTTTCCATTCCTTGCCCTGGCACACCCCACAGTGTGGAACCAGTTCCAGGTAGGCTATTGTTTCCAGAGCAATTCAGAGCTCTGACGCCTTGGACCAGCCTTGGACCAAAGACGGCTGCAAAGCGCTCAGAACAGAACCGTCAAATGCAACAATTCAGCAGACGACAGACCCCACGGAATGACACAGGCTGAGAGAAGGCGGCTGAAGAATCACCTCCTTTACAACCTTGTTTTAGAATGTGAACAACTAGCAATTAAGACGCCTGTGTGAGCCAAATGAGCCCCCTCCCAAGCCGGGACAACACACAATCCCTCATGTGCGTCCCTCCTCAGGGACTTGTGCTTCTTGAGAACTACCGTAGCCAAAATCAAAGATGGAGAAGTGAACATCACTCCTCCCGGGGCACTTTTTTAGAGCCAGCAGAGGAACTGGGTTTTTGTTTGTTTGTTTGTTTTTTAGCTCCAGAAAAGCCCGAGGCTTAAAGTTCAGCCAAATGACGACCACCTGCCTGGAGGAGCTATGAGGGATGAAATGAGATGCGACATGTGGAAGCGCTTTGCAAGCCCAGAGCATGTGTGGAGGCAGTAACTGCACTCAACAACAGAGCTGCTGAGGAGGGAGCTGGGGGGAACCTCCTAAGCCTGGGCAGCTGGGCTCTGGCTGGTGACCTGGCACCCGCTCTCGGCTCTCCTGAGGTCTGGGACCTCACTGGTGAGAACTCCCTGAAGCCAGGGGCAGCACACTTTTTCATAAAGGGCCAGAAAGTATTTTCAGCTTCGTGAGCCACATGTTGTATATTCTTTTTGTTTTTTATAATCTTTTAAAAATATAAACACCATCTTAGCTTGTGGATCGGAGTGTGCAGATCCCTGTCCTGAAGGATGGTGAGAGTCTGGACAGTAAGAAAAGGATCCTAACCTGGACTCTCCCTCCTGTGTGAGCCGACTACTCGGGTTTGAGTCTGAAAAGCCAGCCTGGGCCTCCTGCTCCAAGCCCGTGTCTAAGGGCTCCCTGGAAATGTCATCTGTGAAGGGGAGAGGATGACACTGTCCTCAGGCATTTCTTGGAGGATTGGGAGGCTCAGAGGAGACCATCTACCCAAGTGCTTGGGAAACCTTTGTAAAGAGTCCAATAGTCCTCGGGGCAGCTGTGAACATATCATTGGGCCCAAACAAAAGTGTGAGGCTGCCCCCCTCTCAAAGGTTTGTAGATCTAATCAGTTTCTCCCATCTCTGCCATTGCCTAAACGGGAAACCTTGGGCAAATTATCTCATTTGGGAAATGAAGGTACTGGCATCTCCCCTGCAGGGAGGTGGCATGGGGTCAGCGGGATAAGGAGGTGACTTCTGCTTAGCCCAGCACCTAGCCTTGTTATAACTATTCACGACTCACACCTTGCCATGGCTGCCCTATCTCAGCGAGCTCACTTCTGTAGGACATTACACCCTTGGGCTCATTACACCTCAGAGCTCTAGGACATGCATGAATGGGCGAGTTGGGATGTGGGGTAATGTCCTGGGGGCAGCTGGGAGGTGAGGGGCCAGGTTTGGGGACACTCAGAGGGGGTTAATACGAGGGTCCCGAGCCCAAGACTCAGCATGCAGGGGGCTAAGAGATGCACCCCTGTAGTGCTATGATTCTGCAGAGGTCAGGACCTGGGGTGACATCTGATAAGGCAAAGCTGTGTCGTCAGCACACCAGGCCTCCTCTCTGGGATCATGCCCTTCCTTGGGTGACATCGTCGAGGTGCAGGCTCTAGGCACCTCCCTCCTATTCCTTCACAGTGGGCCCAGCCCCCCCTCTCCCATCCTCAAGTCCTGTGGCTCTGCAGGTCCTGTGAGATCTGCCACTTCCTGGATTGACTTTTGGGACCTGGAAATGGCCACCCTCTCTGGCCTCTGTCAACACTGCTCCCTCATCCACTGATGTTGTCACGTCTGTTCCTTGACTTCTCCTGTAAGAACAAACCCCTTGGTCCACTGGCCTTACCGCTCCCTCTTACTCCGATTGAGTGATCTGTGTCAGAGTCCCCTGCTAGCCTCTAAGTTCCAGGAGGAGACTGGCCCGTGGCACCCCAAAGCAGGAGCTTGCTCGGTATTTGCCCAGCGAAGGCCCATGTCCAATGAGTTATGCAAAGAGCAGCAGCCCATGTCCTAGCCAGCGGCCCTGAAAGCTGTTAGGCTCGAGTTTCCTCATGTTTCCTCTGCTGCTGGGGACGACATTCCTCTAGCGCATCAATCTCAAGAGGCCTCCACACCGAACTTTCCTTTGTCACGCTGGCCACTCAGGTTAATTTCCACGTGTGTGACTCTCCCAAGGCTCCATCTGCTATGGGTTTCTAATTTCATTCCATTGTGGTCGGAGAAGACTGCATGATTTCAGTCCTTGCAGATTTACTGATACTGGTTTTGTGGCCTAGCAAGTGGTCTACCCTGGAGAAAGAAAGTCCCATGTGCCCACGAGGGGAACCCGCGCTCTGCTGCTGTCGGGTGAAGTGTTCTGTGGACGTGCTAGCTCTGCTTGGCTCTGGGCAGTTGGAGTCCTCAGTATCCTCAGCCGCCTGTCTGGATGTTCTACTGACAACTGAAGGTGCGGTATTGAGGTCTCTAACTGTTACGATTGAATTGTCTTTCTCCCTTCAGTTCTGCCAGTTTTTGTTTCGTGTAATTTTGGGGCTCTTTTAATGACACCTAATTTTCTTACCTTTCCCAATGACACCCCAAAACTTCAGGCATCTAGGTCTCCTTCAGAATTTGATGGGTGCTAGGAGCCCAGACCAGGAGCTGGGGCCTCTGGGGCTTCAGCTCCATCTCTCGGGGTCCAGGGCTGCTGACCAGGACCCTTGGTTCGTTCCGTACCGCTCCTCCTGCTGTCACACTCCAGTCCCTCTGTCTCCTTTCTGTTTTCTGAGCACGTCAGCACAGTTCCCACCTCAGTGTTCCTTCTCCATGTGCTACTCCCAAGGCTTGGGATGCTTTTCCTGCAGGTATACTCACTGTGGCCTCTCTGGCCATCTCCAGGGTAAACCAGTGCTCATGCTTCTCTCACTGCCCAGAAAGTGGAAGCAGCTCCTCTCCACCCTCCAGCCTCTCTCAGGCTGTATATCATAGTCGAAAACGATCTAATGTATCTGTCCCCTGCTACAATGAGGCCCTACCCTCTCTGTTCTGCTCACAGCTCATATTCACAACATCTAGGACATGGTGCACAAAAGATGCTTGACAAATACTTTACAAATGGAGCCTGCATCCTCCACTATAGCCCCTTTGGTGACAATGAAGAAAGGGTGCCTGGCCAGAGAAGATTCAGACACGCACGCCTAAAGCCCCGACTCCAGGAGCTCAAATCCATGCCCCGAGTCTCTTATAAGAACCATCCCCTAGGCACGTGGTAGGCCTCTTGCTCCTGGAAAAGCTGGGAGGCCAAAGCCTGGCAACACAGCAAGACTCCCCCACTGGGAGAATCTTCCAGAAACTGCTGGAACCTCCTATGGGGTATGAAACAGCTTGACTCAGAAGCAATGAGGAAACTGACGTTGGCAGTTCTTTTCAAAAGGGGCTAGTACAAGGAAGCAGGAAGACAGTATATAAGGCGAAGTCGTTTCTGTGTGCCTTTGGATATGCTGACTCTTCTAGAAATCCTCAGTTGCCCATGTGAGGAGCAGCCTGCACCCCACACCCTGCTGGAGAAGGGCTAAACTTGCTGTCTGGCTGTCTCGTGCTGTCTTCCTGGGAAGCGGGGAAAAGTTTAGGGTGCAGCAACTCTCTTCAAGCTCCCCTACCCCTTACCCCACCCAAGGCCAATGCCAGCTCCACCAACACTTTCCTTGCACATGGCAACTTGGTGGTCAGGACCTCTTCCTTGTCAAAGCAGTCTGGGGGCCACCCCTCATCCCAATCAAGGGAGTAGCTATTCAGGAGTCAGCCGAGAACAATGCTTGGGACTACCAGCTCCTCAGGTGCCACTCACGTCAGGAGGCTCTAAGAACACGCTTTCAGGATCCATGCTTCTTGGGGAGGAGTGAGGAACGAAGCAGGGTGTGGAAGCCCCATTTCCTCCTCCGTCTCTTCCCGCACTAGAATCCACCTCAGTAAGGATGGCACCTAGGGGATGCTGGGGTCAGCACCCATTTGGGACACCAGGATGAAAACACCCCCAACACTGACATAAGGAGGCAGAAGAACAAAGAAAACCCTTCAACTGATTTCTCTGGCATCAGGATGGTGAACAAATGAAGCAGGCTCATGAAAGACAGGAAAGTCTTCCAGGATGGCGGCGGGGGGTGGAGGGGGAGT